AATTGAAAAGGAATATCAACTCAGATAAAACGTGTATCGCATGAATACTCCATAATTAATGATAAATTTCATTCTCATATTTCTTACCCATATGATTTGTCATCGATGACAAACTTAGATAAATACTGATATCAAATTTCAATCTATGTATCGGCACTCCTGTCCCGGTTTCCCTCAGATGTCTTAACTCTACACTGACGACAGGCGTAATCGATTTTAAAAATCGATATATTTTGTATTGGACAAACATTTGCCCAAGTCACGCGCCATCAAATTTTGCCCTGTCCCCTTGAGCTCCTTCAGGGGTACAAAGAACAAATTTTTATTTGTATGACAAAGTAATTGCTTACATAAAAGGTATTATCGATTTTTCTAAGAAAAATTAATGTAGTAGATCGTACCTCTGACGTAGACAATTAATCCGTCAGGAGTAAAAGATACCCTGCCCTCCAGCGGATTAAAAACACATTAAGACTGAATCTCCAATATGTTTTAATAGCTTCAGGCGAACGCTTGATATCTCTTTCATAAAAACATACGGGCAATAAGTCAGTGAATTAAGAAGCGGTAAACGGGTCTTTGTCGGCCGGCTTTGAAGTTTCACTGATAATTAAGTCATCCTAAATCTTATGCCTACCAGCCATGGACGTCGGGTGGTATAATACGTTTTTGAGCAAAAGATATGACGGATTTTAGGCCGCTGGTTAAAACAACTCGTTCAGTCAATGCCTCGACGAAAGGTATTACAATGTTTTATCGCAGATAATAGGTGAAAGTTGTAGAGCCCGTATTTGATTGTGAAGAAAAGCTTAATAGGGATAATTCGGTCGATTTGTTGGCTATTAGTCTGGCAGATATCCCTGATAGAGATACACGCTACAAAATGAACAGGGGCTAAGGACGTGAGTATGAAATCATTTTCAACGCAATATTTTTCCTGTTCTTTCTCGGCTGCCAAATCATCTATTGAGAAAATAGTGTATTACCGCATAATTGACACAAGATTCGATTTATCTCGAAATCTGAATCTTTGTAGGAAAACGACAGTTAACACGTTAACTCGAATATGTTTAGCACGCGAACTTATTCGATTTCGACATCTAGCCCGAAAACGACTTTCAAAATAGAAATATTTTACGATATATATATTGTGAATTCATCGAAGTTTCTCGTATTTCCTCCCAAAGGCGGTCTCTACGAAAACATCAAAAGTAGAATTCAATCTTTTGCATGTTCAATGTACGGTATTTAATGCTTTCATTATATAATTGAAACGATAATACCCCAATTATATGACGGGCTCACAGTAGGGAGGGTTTTAATTAAAGGTGGAAAAATTGAATAAATATCCATTCTGCATAAGTAAGTCGGCCTGGCCCTATCTGTATACAGGGCACGTCGCCCAGATTGTCCTGGGTGGGTACGGGCCGTGAAGAGCCTCGGTCAGCATTTAAATTTGAAATAACAGGAAGTAGGCCATTCTAATTGTCAGTCGGGAAACGGACGCGACAGGTGTTACGTACAAAATTGAAGTTCGATTTTGAACATTTTAAACAGTTTTTTCTCCAACGGTTTTCCTTAATGGCAATTATTTTATTTTGAAACTGTTCCGATGGCTGTTAAGTTTCAATTTGATACAACACTTTGATAATAGTTATTTGGTAGTTACAAAACTGATAGTAGTATGTTTCAGTCCTATGAATATAGTGCTGTAATATTTAAATGGTAGAAAAATATTAGAAAAATAATATTTTAGAAGTCAGTATTTTGCATATATATCCCATCCAATATTGTTGTCTGAAATAATATTAAAATTAAGTACTTTAAACACTTCAATTAAAGATGAATTACAAAAGACACGCACAATAGCTGTCTGATAAAAGGACACGCGACTTTATGGAGAACGACATTGAACAATCTTGGAATAAATTAGAATCCCGAAATTGACAGCCTATCAAAATTAATTTAATCATTAATCACTCGCCAGCATATTAAAAAAAAATGCAATTTAGAATTCAGTTGTTTGAATGATAATGAACATGAAATTCAAGGAGGTGCAATCATAGAAATTTAATCAAATCAAGTACAGAAGATGTCGTTGAAAGTGAAACGTTGTGAGGTGATTGATGGCTGTTTTGTTGTCTGATGTCTCTATCTAAATGAGGTTGTAGAGATTCCGAGACCTGGAGATAAAGACAACATCTGTTAAAGGTTTATATAAATTACCGACCAACTCCGATACAATTTCCCGCCAAATATACCGCATACGGTACTTACATTCCTAGTTTATCTAATTAGCGCCCAGGTGATTTTGTTTTTGTAGAAGTGAAGATATTTAACACTTATTTACAATTATTTTAGGACCGATATCTTAAATGGCAAGGTATTTATTACTATTGAGGAGGGAAGGGACTGCGATTTAAAAAAAAAAGTGTTTTAACCTGCGCCAGCAATTCAACACGACTTGGTATTATAGCTTTAGAAAGTTAATGATGAAGTATCATACTAATTAGCGGTCCTTAATCACGCAAACAACTTCCTGTCTGAACCTGTTACGCAAGATACGAACAGCGCTGACCGATATTTACGCGAATAACTACGGTATGTTTTCCGTGGTTGATCGCCCTCGGACCGTGTCATACAACAATAACAACGACACGACCGGAAGATACAGGTAGTGTTTCCATTCCCCCTCTATAATCTTACTGTCATCCTCGTCCGTCTGGCCTTGAACCAGGTACCTGTCCACAAAAAGGACAGGTAGTAGGCTAAGACGGTATTTAAACTCTGTAGTGCACACCTGTCGTCTTGGAATCCGTCCCACACAGGTAGGGGCTCCATTGGCTCGCGCTCCTTTGTGCCCTGATTTAAACACTTTTCAAATGTAACGGAATCTGGAGAATTTCCCAACTGCCCTATGTTTGACCTAGAACGGGATATTTTATCAATGAAAATCACAAAAATTATCAATGGACGCAGGGCGAGAGCCGAGAGTGAAGTATGAATGGACACAATAGACACTACTAACTGCGTGGCACGGATCACGGATGTCAACTTCGCCGTTAATAACGGCAGTTTGAATTAAAGTGCATTATTGGTTTGAAAAATTGAAGTGCAATTTGTCACGGAAATAAACCGAAATTCAAAAATTATTTCAGATAAAATACGAGCGACATTGTCATAGCTGGTGTAATTACATGAAAGAATGCTACGTCTGGTTTGAAAGGAATTCCTGTGTGTATGGGTTATTGTGAAGGAATTTCAAGTCGCGACAACACACGGTATTTAGACATTCAAACTGACACCTTGTACCGACACCTTTTTATCAGAACCAATTTAATATTAAGTTAAGGATCCCCGTGTCACTGCCAAAAACTGTAACTACCCATTGGGAACTTTTCCTCGGCACAACCATAGCTTTGATTGTTCTATTCTTATATAGATGTAAATATTTTGAGGACATTTATGTTAAAAATAAATGAGGTAAAATAAATTAAGATATGATCGACAACAGCTTTCTGAGTTGTAAAATGTAAGAAAGCTATATTACATAATTTGAATTGTGAAAATCAGATTGTTAAATCACCGCCCTAACGAATGAACGGATGTATCCTGGCCCAAACGTGCTACACTTATATCCAAAATCGTATAAAGGGAGGTTACTGTATATATAAAAAGTAGGACAGAGTCCTTAATATTAAAATGTCGCTTCGAGGAACGAAATCGGCCTATTCGCTTTTCGGACATCAATAGAATCTAACATTTCAAAGAATATTTTAACACGGCCGGCTTCTGATTACCTGCTATTTCATCAAAGTATATACAAGATGCTGCAAAAATGTACTGAATTCTTCTTTCTATATGTTCAAGGTTTTGTCAAAGCATGCCATTTATCTTGGTATTAAACGCAAATCGCGAGCGAATGTTGACAGCACTGCAGGTAGAGAGTACAAAAATAAAAAGACCAAACCTAATCAATTGGTTTTTTTTTGCACAAGTAATATATTTGTTATGAAAACTATCGGCCATGTGCATTACTCATCGAATGTTTGCACGTGCTGGGATTCGGGATTGGCAGATGGTGTCAGTATCCTAATCAGCTCCAAGCACGTTCTCGTATTCGTTAGCCTTGAAACCCGTGAAATATGTCAAAATGTATTGGAAACACCTAGGAAGTGATAACAAAATCTGCCATAGGTCGCGGAATTAATTCATTTCTCGACGAGAAACGAAGAAAAAGAAGCTAATAAAATCCATGATGTATGACGGTAATTCACTGGCGAGAAACAATGGTTCACCCGGTACACTGGGTGTGCGCCTATCTGCCTTGCAGATAGGCACTGTGTAATACCGGTCGCGCCACAAAGCAACAGCTCCATAATTCTTTAACCATTTCTGTGATTAGACTGCTGGTAACGGAAAAGCAAGCTGGGGTATATACGCGTAACGTATATAACACCTGAAATGATTAACAAAAAATACATTGCAACAAGCGGTTTTAATTTTAGAACGTGTTAAAAAAGATGTTAGCTGCTTTCAAAGTGACAGAACAGCGTGCATCAATACATATAGATATTGTATGCGGATCGCAAGGTGTTGCACGCAGGAAGTCAATTTCTCCCACAACTAATATAGGTTTCTTTGCGAAATATTTGTTTTCACTCCTAAAGTTGTGGAGCTGCTGGTAAACATCATATTACCTACATGTATATATAGCACGTCGTGAGCGATTTCATTTCTTAATGTTTCTAGGCACATCAACATTGCGATGCCACACTGTAAGCTGATATTAATTTCTTTTGTTGCGATGACGTAATCCGATTGTCTCCGATGTCTCAAATGTTTATTCGTTTGTCTGACTAACGTTAGTTTATTCAAGTTTCGAACTTACAGGAGGAAGATTACAATGAAACCAACCGTTGCTCGTTAGCGAATCTCTATGTACGTTCTGTCGAGTGTAAGGTTACCAATCGATTAAATTTAATTCATTTTATTTTCAGATGAAAAGACAAAGATAGCCCCACAAACTACTGGAATATCGTTTGACATTGGGAGTTATATTTCCCAGAATGCACATGTGACTTCCTGTACATCAGTCAACACAACGAGCTCTGTAAGCTTACAAACGTGTGCGCCAGACAGACAGTGTCGAGTCGTAGTTAGTAATAAGGGTGAGGGCAGCTGTATCAAGAATGTCCGAGGCGTGGATGTGAACGACGAGGAATCCTCATCTTCTTCATTTTCATCGTCCCAACCAGACGACAGTTTGCTGTCCTCCATATCGGACACGTCCGATTTATGTCAAGACATTGACTTCTGCACGAGTGCTGACGAGTCCGTGCTCAAGTCGCCCGAACCGCCATCTTCTTCTGGTTTAGCAAGTCCGCAGCAGACACTCCCGCCCTTTGCCTCGCTTGCTCTCGGTGTGTGTCTCTCGAGTATGCAAGCCAACTCCAATTCTACCTCGAACATGTCTGATTCCGTTAAAACTGAAAATGACTTTGGTGTTAAACTCCTTCCGCAAATGCCTTTATATTCACCCGCAATGGCGACCAACAGATATACAGACAAATTGGCATGCACATCCATGCGTAATACTACGAGCGTTCCAGTTATTCCATTCACAAATTCAAGTCCCGCGTCTCGATCTACGCCTAGTAAAGGTTCTACTCGCCAACCTCTTGGACAAGCTCAATCGTTCTCAACCTCCAACAACATACTTTCCCCACTTGTGTCGGAACCAAATAAACAAAACTGTTCGGCGAGACAGTCGCCAAGATCTGTTATTAACTATTTACCCTCAAACAATACCAAGCAACAGTCAACAAGAAGGAATAATTCGCCGAAAAAAACACTTGGGAAGGATAATAGAATATCTCATTCCATCAACACACTAGTTTCGTCTGTGCAACATACACCTCAGCGTAACGCGTCGCCAAGGAAACCACTTGGATTGGTTCATCACAATTCAAATATAAATAGCAGACACGTGTCGTCTTTTCCTGACGCACTTCAAGTCAACGCCAATCCTTCGCCAACACTTCGTCTACCTCTTATATTACCGCTTGAAAAAGAGAATGCTGATAATACCACTGTAACCCAAAATCGAAAGAACTTTCAGCCGGTGGCAGATGGGGCACCACAAGTGAAACTGCCTGTAAAACTTCAAATGAAACAGTCTGAGCACAGATATCACGTGTTTGCCGATAGTTTGTCGGACAAGGATGAATCAAAAGGCTCCAAAATTTCACAAAGAAACGAAGTCAAACACACAAAGGACAATTCATATGAAAAGCAAGTCACTGCCAATCCGAAACCAAAAATATGGAATCCGTTACATCACGTGTTTGACGCAAAGAAATTTAGCACTCCTGTCCCGGTGCAGGATATGGTGAATTCTTCGCCGTTGACGTCACATTCGGCCGTGTTCTCGCCTCAAGTACGATGTAGAGCGACTCAGAACACTGTCACTAGGTGCGCAAGTCCTGTCGAGGTCAGGGAGATACCAGCTCCAAAGACACTGATGCACATCACTAGTTCAGGCTTTCCATCCATGATATCGCCCTCAGTGACAAGTTCCTCTCTACGTTCAAGGCCCCACACGCCTTCGCTTCTCGAAACGGCTCGATCGTGTGCTCCTCGTTCATCGCCAGTGTTGAATGGCGCATTAGCGCACCAAAGGCAACAGTACTTGGTCCAAAACTATCCGCAGGTTTCGCCTGGTCCTCAGCGAGAATCTACTGTCTCTCCAGCACTCGCAACAGTGCCGCTTCTTCACACTTCACTGCAGCATCCAGTGGTATTAGAAATGCGCCAGAGTCCGATTCCAGAAGTTTTCAGAGACAATTTTGACCTGCAAAAACAACCACATATGCCCGTGTTTAAACAAAGTTTTCCAGCGCAGCACCGAGTTAATATGGCGGAAACAAAGACAATATTTTCAACCTCTCCATTTGCATATCAAAAGATAGATTCTCAAACCCAATTCTCAACAATGCCGGTAAAAAGACCACCAACACCGTTGTTTGGAACTGGAAAACGATTCAAATCCGAACAGGGTCAAGCCACTCAAAACCTTCCATTTAACCCACTGCAACAATTAGCATCCGTTTGTGTAGACCAAGGAAAAACATGGGGAGATAACCCCAGCAATGACAGTTCTGGTCATGTTCCAATTTTCCCCGCCACCGGAAACAGCCGACATCTGGAGATGGTACCCAGTGATTCCAACTCTAGCGAAAGCAAGACCGATGAAAATGAGGAACCTGACCTTGATTTCGCTGATTCGTCGTTTTTGAAAATGTTGCAGGTGAGTAAAAATGTCTTTGAACATATCTCTTCACATCAGAACTTTATCGACCGTGACAGAATCGAATTATCTGTACGCGCCACTTTGTACGAGTTGACTAAAAATAATGGAATCCTCCTAGCATATCTTTTCTAGGAGTAATGCTTTGGTTTTGATTAAAATGAATCGCGCGGCAGTGTAATGGTAAAATATACGGGCTTCTAGCTCAGAGTAGCTCACTGATGCTCTTCACAGCGCAAAAACCAAAATTGATCTTGCGATTGGTCGCGTTTTGATGTCTGGAACCAAAAAGCTAACCGCGAACCCTCGATGTTGACATGAGAGAATCTTAGGATGCAGAGATGTGCACATCGTAAAGGGAATCAGTGTGTCAGTTCTTTAAATCAGTTCTTTATCGCCAGAAAACGTCGCTATTCTTATTCAGTTGATATTACTTCTTTATTTTTATTCTTTAAACTAGGACAGGGTATTATGGTAAAGAAGAACAAAATGAAGCTATTTTAAATATGCATATGTTTATGGTATAGAATACATTAATTCAGAGATTCTCGCATTTCTGTAATTTTGTGTATTTGTTTTATTTCCAGGGGCGCCATGGCTTACAAAACATCGAATTCGTCAATGGTGGAAACGGCATCAAAAATCCGTCGTTTGTGGCTCCTAAACCGGCCGACATCACCAACACCCATCAAGGTACACATGACTGTGCACGTGCTGAACTTTGCACTTTTCCGCTCACTGTATTATAGGAGAACGTGTGATAATTATCATCAAATATGACCATACGTCTTGGGTAATCCCACCAATTTACGTCTGTATACAGGCATTACGAAGTTATTTTCCTGTAAATCTATCGTATTTCTTCATATTCGTACAAAGGGAATTACAGGTTGTAGTCTGTTTTAAGGGCGTCAAAACATATTGAAGTTAAACTAAGCAATACATTTCAAAAAAGGTATCTGGATCGGCTAACACAGTGGATGTTTCAGGGATGAAATCCCGGTGCCATTTTTTTTTTAGCGAAAACATGATACAATACAGCTAATGATTAGTTTGTATATAACTCCGTGCATTAAGGTTAATTGGTATAATTCGACCCTGACTATCGCGAGGACATTAAACCCGGATAAAAATAAGAATAGTTGCATAAAAGGGTATATGAAGATTGACCTTCATTTTGACGGCGTATACGGTAGTATGAACGCAGCTGGCTAGGGATTCAAGTATAGTAGAAGTAGGCCGGCGCCATGTTTGAAACTTGTGTCAACCCGTTCAACCTTTTTTCACTGCGTATACAGTCAAGTGTTGACTGAGCCAAAGAAGGGAAGATGTAAATAAATAATTAATATCAACAAAAGAAGTATTATCGTTATCACGCCAATGACCCTATATAGGTATTATACAAACATTGTATCTCCCTCATTGCGGGTCAATAAAGCAAATGCTAGTTGAAGTTGAAACACTTAACAGGTTAACAATTTCTTGATCGAATGTTGATAAGTTAGACTATTCTGTGTGTTATTTTTCAATTTAAAATCCACCTTGCTCCTTTCCTGTAAACTGTAAAGTATGCCGCCATCTGCCGACCTTGTCGAGATTACAGGTTTTGAGATGCATAAGGTCAATATTATATTTGTCCCGAACAAACATGACTGTTCGTCTGATTTTACACACCTCTATTGCCATTTATCGGTGAAGATACCTTCGAGACGACTCCCGTCTTAAGTCTCGCAATCTTACTTGGATTGTTTGTTGTTTACTTAATGTCAATAAGTACTTGGTTCGCCAGCTGTTCCCTTCTCAGCACTTGTCGGTCGCCCTCTCCAGCCCAGTAACAAACAGGCGAACAGATTTGAGTACCGGAGACGCGATTCTCTCTCATTATATAATAAAAAATTCAATTGAAATGTGAAGACCTGCGTATAAATATCCCAATTCTAGAATCAAATGAATTGTTGTAGCAAAAAGTAATTCAACGTTCAAGTCTTTTCGATACGTATAGTTGGATTCCAATGGTCACGTAATAGTTCAATGGCATCAAAAAGAAACTTAAAATCCTTTCGGATTTTATTTTTCATCATTTTTTCTCATTTTTTTCATTTTTTTTTAAAACCCTATGCTATTAGCCTGTTCGTTTAGCCTGGTACATCAGTGCTGTCATTTTCTATCTTGTCGTTCTTTTCATATTTACTCGCAAATAAATAATATTACATATATATATATATATTTATGTTTCTACAGATATACCGACGGTATTGAACGGGTCCTGTTGCTGCAAGGTCTGCGGAAAGGAATTCAAGCTGCAGAGACTTCTGAACCGCCATCTTAAATGTCACAGTGACGTCAAACGGTTTTTGTGTACGTTCTGTGGGAAAGGCTTCAACGACACATTCGACCTGAAACGTCACACGAGGATACACACAGGTAAGACAGGATCATCATGGAATTCCATACCACTGCCAAAAACTAAACTTCGAATTTTTAGTGTTTTTTTTAGCTATATGGCAATAACTTTCATAATTCTTTCGGACAAGGAAAGCAATTTCTTTGCAGAACTTTTATTAAAAAAGACAGAAACTGCAACGGTGCCAGACGGGGATTCGAACCTTAGACCACCGATCACAACATTTATCATCAGTTGATATATATGAGACGAGATTGCGATAATGTAAGAGATGGTTTCTGTATGTATGTATGTACACTACCGTTGAAATCTTTAGTTTCTTGCCTAAACTGGGACCCGGATCTCTAAGTGTGTATATACAATGGTTGTATTTTGTACCTCTTTTCGTAAAGAGTTTCAATCCACGCGTAGAAAGATTTCAAATGCCATGCAAGCATAAACAATTTGTGGTAAATTAAAATGACGACACATTTGAAATGATATGACGGTATTCAATCAGTTCTGAATCTAATGATTTAATATTACGTAAAAGCTATTTGTTATTAGTTACTCGAACACAAACGGTATCGATGGAGGTAACTCTTAACACAAATGGTGTAATGTTGCATTATTCAAATTGTTCTTGAGAACGATCTTCATTTTTATCAAAATGATATTTTGATTTATGCTGTAAACCCCCTTGTATGGCGTTATCATGGCGTCTGCTTATAACTTATAACATTATATTCTTATTGTTTTCGTGAAATGATTCATAACATGCATTTTAACAATAATAGTTTTTTGGCATACAATGGTTCAAGGTTTCGAGATATCCTGTGATAAACACGCCTCGGAATGACTTTTAAGTTGCATTTGGGCATATTGTAATTATTCTCCGTGTCTCTCTACAGGGGTGAAGCCGTACAAGTGCCTTCGTTGTGACAAGTCGTTCACTCAGCGCTGTTCCCTGGAGTCCCATTGTCGGAAGGTTCACAACACGGAATATGACTACGAATACAAACAACGCCGAAACAAGATGTATGTGTGCGAGGAGTGTGGTTTCTCGACTGACGAGGCAGAGACTTATTATATTCATCTCCGACAGAATCATCCCAACTGTCCAGTTCTCGCAAAACCTCACGATAAACGACACTTCAAATTCCGGAACGAACGTTTAAACTTAGCAACACGCACGCGCAGTGACAGCGAACTAAAACCGGAAGTGAAAAGCGAAGGGAAGTTGCACGTTGACCGGTTTTTAAGTATGAGATAACCTTTGAAAGTAATCGCCTTTTGGGTTCCAACAAATCAATATTTACAGATATTATGATCGAATATTATGCCGGAGACACGATTTCAGTGATCAAAATGTTGTGAGTGTAATTTATAGTTCCGTCGACTAACTGTTACCATGTGAAATGACTCAATCACTCTCAGTGGTTCAGAAACCAGTGTGCCTGACTTTGATTACCCGCTTTACATATCGTCCAGTCACTTTGATTTAAAGCTTGCCAGAAAACAAATATATATATTATATGTCCCATTTGTTGTGAACTTCGTTATATTTTATGTACGTTACGTTTTGTTATTTGGATAATTTAGTCAATACATCCATTTTTGTTTGAAGGTTGTTTTGTATCTGCATGAAAATCTGGACTATTGGTCTCAAGTCAGAGACAGAAACTCCGATTGACTCCGTGGACTTCAGAATGATGCCTGTTAACTCATTCACCCCTGAAATTTCATCATGAACTATTCCAACCTTTGAATTGGAAGAGTTCAAATGTGTCCTCAGGGGTGAATGAGTTAAAGTTATTCACCTAATTTGTTTTTTTGAAGATATCAATTTAAGCGGTATATATGAGTTTTTTTAGCGAAACTCGTGTATGATGTAGTTGTAAAAGTGGTTTTATTTTATCTAATCACACTCAAATTCACAGAAGCTGTTGTAAAGTGTGCAATTGAATGTTTCGTTTTTTCTATGGCAAGTAAATAGCAAATCAAATCGATTTAGATCAGTATTAAATGGTGTTTTTTTGTGTAATATTTATTTTTCCGTTATAGGCCTAACCCTTTTGTAAGACTACACAAAGCCTCGTTCTGGTGTTGATATGTCTCCATTTCCTTTTATTTGGTGCTACATGGATTTAGTTTTTCTTGTTCATGAAACAGTCATTTTTCATTTGGCTTGAATAAATTTTTCAATGTAAAGTACGTCATGACTCGTTGTTGTTATTACTAATACTAGAAACGGGAGAATGGAAGATAACTCGTATCGAACACACCCCTGTGGTAAGAAATATATCTACCGACTGGTAAAAACAGGTCGGACCAGAATGGCTTTGTTCGACCACGTTCGCCCCTGTGAGGAAAGCTTTGGGTTTTGTCCCCTGGCCGAGACAGTTTCTACTCCTGCTTAACGCTCAGCAATTTAAGAGTGGGACGACTGGTTCGCCCGTTGTCAGTATAATGTGACCGGGTGGGATGTCCTGCTGGGTGTCTTCGGCAGTATGTTTCGGTGAGATAGCACTACAAAGTCGGCATCAGTTCCACGCTATCTTCAGGAGACAATCACGAACATATCGCAGCCTCCAAAACACACGCAGGCGAGGCCGTCCTTCAGTGTCCATAGCTGTTGATAGCCATTAACAATACTAAACCAAACAAAACCAACTAAGCAGGGGTGTACCATCCTCGATACTCGAAGAGTTTACGCCCTCTGAATGCATTGGTACGATTTACAGCAAATATAGAATGTTAAATTCAAAATCGTAGTCACAGATACCAGAGACATTTAGTTTACAATAGATTATGAAATAGATAAATTTATTCAAAAAAGAAATGATCTGTCTTGCAGATGTCATGGTACTCTGTACTTGTCTTTAAAAAACGTGAAATATCCAGATGGAAATATACTATAAATTAATACCAACTTTATACAAACATGAGTAAACAGTTAGACTGATGTTTATATTTACCGATTCTGATCGATATATAGTTACAAAACGAAAATATTTTTTTATGAAACAATTGAATCACTTGTACAATTTCAAATGGTTAAGAAAACATATCATTTTGAACATTAAATAAGACGGTTCAGATTTATTTTTCAGTTCAGTTGTTTAAATTTTCACCGAGCAGCGTTTGTTTTTCTGTTTTGATTAAACCGAATACGCACGGAATTCCTTCAAACTTGCTTCTTTATGATCAATTATCAATCGGATGTAGCACAAAAAACAGATAAATAAATAGTGTAGATCTACATTTTTTTTTTATATCTCAAAGTATCAAATTGAACCACCAAAACATTGGGACGTATGGGAAAGTAATGGAAACAATGATAAATATTTGAAAAAAAGTCCTCGTTAGAACACCTAGCTAGTCGAATGTAGATTTCATGAATACGATTGCATTGTCATAGCGATGCAAGGGAAATAACTCGAAAAACCCCACGTTTCGCATTTCTGCATCTGAACGGACCCAAGGTGATGTCCGTAGCTTTTTTTCCATTTAAATTAATATCCATATTGTGCATCTTCATGGTTCCTGCCCTTTGAGTGTTTCCTGCAGCTCCCGAAGATCCACAGAATATATATGGTTTCTATAATAAATCGGAACACGTGCTGATATACAAATGTGTTCATACCAAGGGGCATAACTCTTACATAATTCGACGAATTACATTGCCTTCCTCAAAATTCGAGGGGTTACTTACACTTACATTCTCTGTACAAAAATTGTAACCCCTTGAATTTCGAGGATGTTTAAAAACAGACTATGGATACAGTTCATATTAAACTGAACTTGGTACAAATAGTATTATCGTAAAAAAAATATCTGTATATTTATTATACACAGATAAAGTAACTCCCTACAGCATGATACATTTCTTCTACAATATACAAAATATGAATACATACCTAAATGTGGCATAGCGCCATACATTAAAACATAAGCATGGCACTACTCGTAAGACACTTGTTAAATAGGAAGAATCTAAAAACTAGATTTTCCGAATATTTTTTTACATTACAGTTTCATTTTTTAAAATAACAATTATGACCACTTATTTTGTCTCTGTCAGTCTTGCTTTCTAGAAAATTAAACATTTATAAACTCGATCCCTACTCGGACTAGGAGATGGACGACGGCGAGTAGAAGGTTGCTCCCAGACTGCTCTCACCTTACTTGTACTGTATGGTGAGTCAGAGATGAAATTAACTAACTTACTGCTGCTGATGATGATGAGTAAATGTCGGGGTGTGAGAATGTATGTTGGTGTACTGTGATTGTAAAAATAAATCGGAGAAATAAGGGAAAAGAAGACGGCTAGTTTTTTTTTCTATCTTCCTTGTTGGATTGAGTGGTTTTGCGTCCGATCCACTACTATGTATGAAATTGCATTTTTGTCGTAAGATTGTAGTCACAGGGACTTGAGAGTTTATTACAGTTATATTTAGAATGTCACCCCTATTGATGATAAACATATATCATCATCATTCCCCCAATTCTACCGAGAAGGCGATCTAAACCCCTTAGACGTGTAAAATTACTCTGAACACCTTAGTTTACATGTAGGTCCAAATATAGCTGTGACAAATTATCAGGTCCCTGTGCTGTTAGTGTGTTTACATTGGTCATGCATGGAAATTTAGACATAATAAACAAACAAACAAAATAACAACAACAACAAACAGACAAACAAACAAACAAACAAAAGCAACAAACTCAACTTAAGAGTACATTTGATTTGTATTGATAGCTGTACATTTTATATTACAGTGATTTCGATACAATTCATTGTCAGAAATATTTGGAAACTTTAGTTTGTGTTGGTATACTTTATAGTTACACAAAAAAATGTTGGTCGAACAAATTATGTTCATAGTAATGTGGGTTGTGAAACATTTTCCAAATGTAGAATTTAGTAAATTTGTATTAATTTTGGTAAACGTCTATGAAAAGATTGATGTTTGGTCTATTTTATTGGAGGAACAGATGTAGGAGTTACTCCCCTTACAGCCTATTTTTATATACCGCCTTGGGAACCGTCGATTCCCATTTGTGTTTTTGACTGTCTTATCGACTCCATTGTGACCTTCCGTTCATAAGCTGATAATATGTCATACCTGTCAAGTGGCCATTCATCCTCAATATCTTGGATTGGAATTGCGATCTTTTTGTCACACAGAGGTCACCTTGAAATGGCAGACGAGATTATAACATCAACGATAATAAACTGATCTCTTTAGTGGGTTCAAGCCGCTATTCTCCCAAAATGGAGCAAATGATTATCCTATATTTCTTCATTGAAAAAGTGTCCCTTAAGATTTCTATGTGACATTGAAAATTTGATTTAAATTACATAAATTTTTTGTCAGACCCAAGAAAGGTTGAATTTTGAAAATTTATTTTTCTTGATCTATGAAAATGTTGCTCACGCTATTTTATGATCATAAATGGAAACAAATATGAAAATTGAGCAACATATATATTAAAAATATACATTTCAAATGAGTATTACTGTAATACAAAAATGTATAGGTTTTTCCATGTAATGTTTTATGACTATACGAACAAAAGAAAGCGTATTAAGTATGCGTTTAATGTTTCTGTTATTGTAAATAGAGTTTCACTCCACCGTATTCAAATAAGTTTATCAAAAACCTATATAAGAACCGAAGCATTCCTTTATACAGCTAGCCTGTATGAAGAGGTTAAAATTTAATAGCGTATGAAAAACAATTACAATGTGATTGTCCGTTATAGACAGGTATTTCTTATGGAGAGGTGGCTTTTGTAGACAGGTATATATGTTATAGATTTTTGGCACTCCCTCTTATTTACTATTCAGCAATACTTATTACATACATAAATGTTTTTCATGAGTTGAATATAGATATTATAACTATAGATCTGGCGTTAAGTTCAGGTCCTCTTTAATCAATTTTAAGCGTTACCATGACTATGTAACTAATTAATATTTATTATGGCAAGTCAACTTAACGTTTAGTACCCAATAGAGAAAGCTCATGTAATGGAGGATATATCATTATTATGGGATCGATTCATTTTAATAAATATTTGATTCATTTAAAAATATCCCGGTTAAGATGTCTCTATTTCATTTCTCTTTAACAACTTTTATTTTAATTACATATTTTGTTTCAGCATTAGCGTTTGGGACAATTTATAAAGTTACTGTTAAGCGGAGACAGGGGGGGGGGGGGGGGGNTCCATTTCTGATATTGTATTTGACCTGTATTTCCCAATATGTCTATGTGTATTTATAAATAGATGTTTGTTTGATATCGAAATCGATTTATTGAATAACGAAAAGATAACTTGCCATAGCACTTGCGGGGATGCCGTTTCATAGGAACAGAAATATCCTTTACAACCGTAAACACGAAAACATATAACCATGTCATTAAATGCTGCCAAAATAGAAAAAAATCGTTGAAAATCCCACTGCGTTATCTATTCTCCAACTGATATAGAGGTGATATTATTACGACTTCAAGTGAAGATAGGGTATTATACCACCCCTCATTAAAACTACATGTACTTTTATACTTTGTTAGGAGGAGTGGGCATCTATTCCAATTAATAACACAACTGGCGAGTCATCCTTCTTAAAGTACATTTCTTTTAATAGTTGAAGAAGATACCTTGCCTTTGCCCTCATGAAAATTATGATTTTTCGAATAAACAATATTTAAAGTGCATGCTGCTAACCTTTGTAACTGTTAGACTAACATCAATAATAACCGCGTATGTTTTTTTCATAGTATTGCGCGAAAACAGATTTATATAAAAAAAAATATTACTGAAATATATATAAATCACATTTTAAATGATGTTGGGAACATTAAGATCTTATTACATATGCCGGGAAGACTACAAGGGTCAGATATCAGCTGTATAGAGAGAACGGGGTATTTTTCTGCTATTATTGTATACGCCATCACGGGGGAAACTTAAAATGTCATATAAATATAACCCCTTTCTTTAGCTGAACATTTTGCATTCTTGTAATGAATTTTATCGCAGGTAAAATAACGAATGGATGTATTTTCTGGCGTTGACGGAGAGTTATCTCAAATCTGTCATTAAAACATTATTTCGACTCATTTGCCGTGTTGATTAAGGAACGATAACTCTATCGAAAACAAAAGGAATCTGCGTAACAAAACTGTTATCGTTTTTGAATA